TTTTTTCGATTCCCAATGAAAATAATGCTTTTGTTCTTTGCGATAATATCATGATACAAATATTCATCTCATAATGACCAGATCCGTTGTTGAATGGATCTTTTCGACCGTGCGGTACGACACAAGCAGTACAGTGAATCGACAATGCCAACTTACTTGTGTTTATTGYGTTCTCGGTATTGCTAAACATGATACCGTACGGTACGATGATCGTAATTCGAACAGAGTCATAACACGGCATAAAACGTCGCGAAAGAATTGAAAAAGTCTATCACATCGCAAGATACGAAATCAGACATTTTGCTCCAACCATGAAGTTTGCTCTCGTTTCTGTTCTCACCGCCGTGTCTACCATTTCGGTGACAGGATTTGCCCCACCCRTGTCGTTGGGTTCTAGAGACGTTCGTCTCACAAGCAAGAAAAGTGGTCACAACTTGAAGAAAACATCTACCACTGGTGATCTCGATCTTGAAGTTTTTACTGAAGACATGCTGAAAGCAAGTACCTTCGTCTACACCTTTCGCTGCATTCGAGATGTTGTGAGGACTCACGGTATCGGCGTCGGTGACGGCAAGAAAATTGGATCTGACAATGAAGAAGATCAAACCAAGAAGTCATTGTGGTCTCTTCTGTTCCCCAAAAAGCAAGTCGAATTCTACCGACCGGAACTCATTATCACGGACAAAGGTGCACAAGATGCCAACGACAACAGGAACTTCAAGCATGTCGTTACRCCAGACGCCATCAAACTTTTTGTCGAGAACAATCGAAAGTTCTTTAGAGAAGACGGAATAGATATCTTTTTTGAAGAGAACGATCGAACTGAACCCTTCGAATTTGAGAAGGCTTTGGAAGAGACGATGGAGGACAACATGAAGATTATTGACTACGTAAGTTAATCAGGATTTGGACCGGACGACAACAACAAACCTGACTTGATCACATAACGCACTAACAAAGGGTGCATTAAATATGCGATTCATTTCTTACATTTTGTTTGTCCCCTTATATTCTCTTCAGGACGACGCGTTTTCCACAAAAAATGGTGGGCTCGTGTATGGTATTGTTGTAAATCTTACACACAAATGGGTGTCGGTTGTTTTTCGTGGTACTGTGGGCTTGACAGATATTTTGACCGACAGAGACTTTAGACTCAATGAAGAATTTTTCTTCAGCGGTGGCTATGGTCCGCCTGCGTTAGGAGGAAGCCCTGGTACACACGAAGGGTTCACCAATTACTTGGCGACTCCACGAGAATACGATTCCGTGGACCGTCCGCTGATTGATCGCATTCTCGCCTCCGTTAACGACGTCTTTGAGAAGAACCCAGATGTGAAGGGAAAAGATTTCAATCTTTACTTCACCGGACACAGCTTAGGTGGTGCCCTAGCCAATTTGTCTGCCTTCCATGCTGCCAACTTGAAAGAGAAAGGCAAGAAATCTGTGAAGCACTTACCAAACAAGATTGAAGCGATGACATTTGCTGCACCTGTAGTTGGAAACAAGGACTTCAATAAGGAGTATCAGCGACTGGAGAGAAAGGGGATTCTGCGTCACATTCGTGTTTCCAACCAAGGGGATGTTATTCCAACAAATTACATTCCATTTCCTCTCTCCCTAGCCTTCAAAGGGAACACCAAGCTATACACTCAAAATGGAGTGAACATCTTTCTGAAGCCCAGAAGAGAATTGGAAATTAAATATCGCAATACCAAGTCGTGCTCTGAGCAACTAGTTCTTGGAAACGTGAATATCCTCGACAATCACATGCCACCCGAGTACATGAGACGCGTACAAACCGACAAGAATGAGGAAAACTTCAAACAGACTGTGGAGGAACTTTACGCAGCAAAAGCTGGTGACTGTACGGCGTAGACACCATAAAACCATCTCTGGAACGCGTTTGGTTGTCGTCCTTTTCTTTCGACCTCTAACTTCGAAACTAAGATGACATTAGGTAGAGTGAAACGAAAGTAACTATGAATTATTTTGATTATTGTTATTAATTTTGAATTTGATCGTGGACTGCTCAAATGAAAAATGCAGATGAGAACATAGAAGGTATCAATCACTTGAACACGCACGCACGCACGCACGCACGCACGCACTTCAGAGAATAAATGAAATATGAATTGTGTTCGAATTCGTTTTACTGTATATTCGGAATGCGAAAAATCATGATGAAAATCACGAAAAATAATCTCATGTGCCGTAGTTTCTTCTTCTGGAATGATTCGACCGTGTRCTGTTCTTACTCCGTACACTTTTCCCACCACCAACGGAATTAGAAAAGCGCCTATTTCTGTGACCAATTTTCCGTGTCCAGGAAGGAGGCAATGTGCCCGCTCCTTGAWAATTAACGAGTGTCAGATATTCCTGTTCAGAAACAGTTTGTCTAAGCTTCCTCAACACGTAATCGTTCACATGCCCACTTTCACAGCATTTCTCGAAAAATGATTTYGCATGAGAAAACCGAGAGGATCTATCTTCACGTGGTAAAAGATTCGAACAAACAGATAGCAATATAGTATAGGTGTAGGCATCTGGTTCAATATCTGGTTGAGCGGCTAACCAATCGTATACTCGAAATGAAATCTGCAATGCCCCAAGTCGATCTTCTTCCCTTTTGGTGAATGCGCAAGCCTGTTATTTGGAAAAGAACGACGAAGAATGGGAAACGTGAGATCACAAATGAGGAAACAGAACAACGAATTCGAAGGTCACGAAGAAACATACATTGCAAACGGCATTGGCAGTGTGGACATTAGGTTTCGAATCATAGTCTCCGGACTCCTCAAATGTCGCAATCATGCTGTTCAGAATTTGTTCCGCACGCCTCGCCGCGCCTCTTTCTCCAGATTTAGCCCATGCGTCAATGACACTTGTGTGAGTGCGTGTATTCGGTTTAAAATCGCCGTCTCCATCAAGATAACGCTGCTTCATTACTTGCAAAACGTGCTCTGCTCTGGCGGCAGATCCTTTCTCGGAAGATTTTGCATGCGCATTGATGAGAGTATTATAAGTATACGTGTCTGGTTTTACCCCCTCATTCCCTGCTCTGTAAAGTTCATCCATGTGATCAAGGATTTGCTCTGCACGATGCGCAGCCATTTTACAACCTGAACGGGCCCACGCGTCAAGTACAGCATTGAAAGTGATCGTATCGGGCTTGACACTGTAATTACCAGATTTRTAGAGACGATCCATCCACTCGAGAATCTCCTCTGCTCTTTCTGCGGCTTTTCTACCACCACCACTTTTTGCCCATGCATCCAATACCTGTAAAAAGGGATAAAAAGTGAGAAAGATGTTTTCAATTGTAAATTTGAAGATAAGTTAACAATATTTTGCCCACTTACTGAATTAAAGTTTATTGTGGTAGGTTTTACATCGTCACTTCCCCCATGTTTATGGCGATTGACCATATTGTGTAATACCCTTTCCGCCCTTGCCGCTGCACTGGGTTCTCCACTCTTTGCTAGCGCGTTGATTACCTGTGGAATAGTTGTAATGAGAAAAAAAATTGTGAGGAAAAGTCAAATAAAGTGGGCATGCATAAATTGCTGGTATGAAACTTACAGCATTGTACGTGAAAGTGTTTGGTTTCAAGCCAATGTCACCCGCCAAATACTTGGACTCCATTGTATCTAAAAGTTGATCTGCTCTTGCTGCCGCTCCGCGATATCCACTAACAATAGAAGGAACTTCAAATGAGGAAAATAWATTGGAAAGAAAATTCATACGTACAAYCAACAACAAAATCTCACCTCTTTGCCCAAGCCTAAATTTTGATATGGAAGATGGAATTATGTGTTGTATATTGAAGAGTCGTGTCAGCGTTAGATTCATAGCATACAATCATTTTAAGCGGACAAAACAAAACGATATAGTCACTTACGTCAATAACCGCTGTGTACGTAAATGCATCTGGCTTCAGATTTGGTAGTCCTTGGAGATGGAGTCTATTCATTGCAAGAAGCATTTCTTCCGCTTTTGACGCCGCGTCGTGCTATGATTAAATCAAATGACGTTGAAAGATATGATGAGGCACGTATCGAAAAATGACACTTTCGAAGTTGATCGCTCTAAACTTACCTCCTTGCTTTTTGCGTGAGCATTGATTACTGTGTTGAATACATATGTATTCGGGCTAAGGTCAGAATGTGTTGTCGGATCAATTTGATTCAAATGGATCATTTTTGCAAGTAGTGCATCTGCTCGAGCAGCTGCATGTTTTTCTCCGCTTTTTGCGTACGCGTCAATGACGGCGCCATATGTTACAACATTTGGTTTCACGTTGACGTCTCCGTTTTCATACAGTATATCCATCTTCCCTAACAATTTCTCGGCTTCTCTGGCAGCGTTTTTGCCACCACTTTTAGCTAACGAATTTATAACGACGTTGTACTGCATATGGAAAAAATCTTGTCAGAGATTGGAAGGCGACAGGACGGCATACGTAACTAGTTTACTCACTGTAATAGTATCTGGTTTGGCAAGATCGTTTCCCTGTTTATACATATAATGCATTTTATTAAGCAGTTCCTGAGCTTTCTTTGCTGCCCCTGCACCTCCCGACTTCGCATAAGCGTGGATTACTAATGCCAATAAAATGAAATTAACAAATCAATGAGCAATTAGGTGAAATCAAGAAAGTCATGAAACGAGACGTMGTGTAGTCAACGTACCGGTGTTAAATGTGTACTTGTCTGGCTGTATGCTCGGATTGGATTTATGCAAGTTGTCCATCCATTTAAGGATTTGTTCAGCTCGACTTGGTGCAATTTTATCTTTCGACCGGGCCCATGCGTTTATCACGGCATTGAARATACCTGTTGTGGGCCTCAAATCATCAAGACCTGTAGTTTGATACTTTTTGTTCATATGTTGCAGTATTGTCTCAGCACGCTGTGCGGCGCTCACTCCTTCTCCACTTTTAGCCCACGCATCTACAGCCATTGTGAACATCTTATTCGTTGGCACGACCTTGATATTACCTGCATCATATTCTTCTTGGGCCCGATTCAACCACTTTTCTACCATACTAGCTCCGTGAGAAGATTTTGTCTTAGCCCATGCGTTCATGATAGCCGGTATTGGAGTAGTTGAAGGGTCTAGATCTCCAACAGCAACTTCTGTTAGTCGACGATTCATACGCAATAACCAATCGTTCTTTTTTGAGTGAGTTGTTGCGGTTGTATCGTCGATAGATAAGTCGGCACCAACGAAAAAAGAATCTTCATCGTCACCATCGGTGTAGTTGTTGTCGTCGTCGTCGTCACGTAGAGACTCCAATTCGATATCGTGAATGGAAGGTAAAATAGCACGATTAGATGACTTCGATGAAATTGTAGCGCCTYCTGTTAAGTTCTGACGGCAATCTTCAGTCAAGCGATCTAGCTGTAGCCGACTAGCTGCTAATGTACTTGCATTAGAGGAAGCCAAACTAGCACCGGAAGATGTAAGGTCTTTTTCTTGGGGATTCATAATCACACGAATAGCTCTTGAACTGGTTGTCGAGCTATCTTGAATTGTAGCATATGAATCATTGTCAAGTTCAAACCCAGTTTGTGGGGTTGGCTGTTTTTGTCGATTCTTTCGATACATTTTTCCTTTTCCGTTGTTCAGATTTTCAGCCTCCGCTTTTGGCTTGCTTTCTTTCTTCTGCCATCCTCGACGGTTGTTTGTTTGTTTTCTAGAATTCCCATGACKAACATCGTTCTGATAGCGTGGGAAGATAGAATCTTCTAGCACATGAGATTCAAACCCTGGGGGTGGCTGCTGTTGCAAAGAGTGTGCTTTGGGATAATATATCTGTGCATTTGAGTTCATAGTTGATTGAGCATTTCGACGACCATGCGAATAGATTTGCTGATACCTCTGGCCTGTCAGTGAAGTCTCTCCTGTCCCACCTGTAGATCCTGAACTGGCTGCGACAACACCAGGGATTACATTGCTTCCGTATGTGTTATTCGATGAAATCGATGCAATTGCAGTTTTCGCGTCATCTCCCGTACCTTTTAGGTGGAATTGACTTATGGATTCAGAAATATCTCGAATGCTRCTGTCGTAACTTTCCGCTTTACTTGTCTGAAATTGGGAGTTCCGTGTGTCAGCCGAGAAGGCACCAATCGAGGGACCTGCAGAAGACGAATGAAACGATAAATCTGAAGCCTTTGGAAGCAACTGCTTTTGCGACCATATGTTCTGGGATTTCGCATCTCGGTTTTTCTGGGAAAATCCTGATTGTGCAGAATAGTTAATCCATTGGTTGTTGACTTCACTCGGGTGGAAATTTTGATAACGATGTTGGTTGGTAGAGGCATTTTGTTCTATACCCAAATGTACTTCATTATCAACCGATCCTGGCGGGGCAGCCCTCATATCCCATTGAGGGACTGATTCGTCGAAGTGACGACGAATGTTGTTGTTGGAGCTCTGAAATGAAAAATTAAGTTCTTCTCTTGATTCTTCCCCAGAATTTACGAACTTCTCGTTCATGGCATCAGAGAAGATATTCCCTTGCTCTAATTTTTCAATTGGTCGGCGGTGGAAGGGGTGGCGAGAGCTAGTCTTTACCATAGCCGGGGTTGAAATCACGCGCCCACGTCGTAAGGAACAGCAAGCAGTATATTTGCGTCTCTTCGAAAGGCTTGTTATAAATGTTGAAATACAACACGTTGCGTAATAATTTGTCGTCTGACAAATTATGGAGAACAGGGTGCATGTGTAATCAATGATTAGTTGCGAAATTTCGCTTGTAAACCAGTTACGTACCTGTAAAATACAAGTTTTATCGCGGTAGGCTACAGAAACCTACGGTGCCATACGTAGAAAGTACACATGATATTATTCTTGGAAATGATTCAGAATCTAACCAGCGGTAATGGAATACTCGTACCGTTGTACGTTGACAGCTATTTCTAAAAATTATTTTCATGGTTTCCGAAAAATACTCGTACTTCGTACCTTTCAAGATGCGGTGATACGGTACGGTAGGTATGGCCCGGCGGCACACTCAGTAATGTACCACCAATAAAACCAACATTGAATAGCCCTTTTCCTCTGATACGGTTTTCATACATTTTATTTTTGAAAGAAGTGCTGCTCGCTCGGATTTTGCCTAATTAAATAATTTCAAAATGCTCGGAATCAACACACCAGACGAGCTGAAGAAATTTCCGCAACGGTTCTAGCTTTCCGTACCTTTAATTCGCGTACGAACAGTCGTGACCCCTCCCACAGGTGTTTGCCCGGGACTTGTAGAGCGACTTTGGCGTTAATTTAGAGTTAGGGATAACGGAATCAACACACCAGACGAGCTGAAGAAATTTCCGCACCGGTTCTCGCTTTCCGTACCGTTAATTCGCGTACGTACGAACAGTCGTSACCGCTCCCACAGGTGTTTGCCAGGGCATTTTAGACCGACTTCGGCGTTAATTTAGAGTTAGGGATAATGGTGATATTCTGTAGGAATCAAGCAATCTGATTGGCTAATTRGACGCTTACATCATTCACAAGGTACATAACACTGCACTGGTCTGAAGCCAAAACGCAGAAAGAACAGACCAATTTTAAGGGGGAAACAATTTTCGATAATTTTAATCATTCTACTATTTAGCCAATCAAATTGCTTGATTCTGACGAATATCACTGTTATCCCTAACTCTAAATTGACACCAAAGTCGTCGTAAAATGRCATTTGTAGTATGGTTTAATCACCTGTGCTCAGTTGCAGTACAAGTTCCTTCTTTTCTGGATATKTACTGTACAATACACTACGTTTGTACGTCAGTGAAGGGGGGTCATAAATTTAGAGAGATGCGCAATGCGCTTTTGCAGCATACTGGTGAGTGATTACACATTGT